TGTCCTATCCATGGTCATCATAGGTTCCTTTCACCTTCCGACGACATTATAAAGTTATCTAAAATACCATTCTCGAGTGACTTTGATATTTAGCTCACTGATTTGCTTGCCCTCTTTCAACTTCAGAAAGTCTCCTCGACCTCCTCGGGTTCGGATGCAACAAATTCTGGCCCCGAGAGCTCGGAAATATCTGTGATAAGTCCCTTGCTAAAGGTGCGCAAGGCCTTGGACGTCGCCATCTCGGAAGTAGACAGGGTACTGGGTGCCTGCGCCGCTGATCACGACCCGGATGATGATGATGATTTGGAGGCGGAAGAATTGGAGCAGTGCCGTTTGGCAAGCCAAAAGTTTGTCGAAGAAGAGCTTGAACGTCGTTTCTGTCGCCTCAGAGCCCTCCTCGGTCTGGAGCCTGTTGGTGTGAACTCTGCGCTTGCCAAGATGCTTATTGCAAACATGGCTGAACGCATGTCTTCCCAAATTCGCCTGGCTGTATCCGACTCCCTACCCGAGAGTAAAGATCTGGCTCGTCTTATTTCGGAACTTATAAGCTCAGAGATACAGCCTGACTCAATGACTGTTTCCGCCGCGGATCCCCCTCTTAGCTGTCTTCGGTGATGCCCCTGGCTTAACTTGTACAGATCCCTTTTGGTTTTATATTTTGCTTTTGCCATTACCAAAATGGCAGTTAGGCATTATTTATTATCAATGTACAGCATAGATTCCTTTCGTCTCTCATTTGTTTTCTTCCGTCCTGCTTCATCGCAGTTCTGCGACGTACCCGAAAGCGAAGGTATATTTTCCAATCCTCGTGTATTAGTCCCTCCCTCCCCCCTTCGTCCTGCCCTCGTGTCGTTCCCGTTAACACTTCTAGATGGTACTCTTACAAGCGACCTTTGTTCCCGTTCTTTTATTTCAATTTGAACGCCTTCCAATCATGAATGTTTTAAAGAAGTCTAACGTTATCAAAAATGCCCTTTACTTTTTGGAGCATTGTACAGGGGTCAGTAGGGTGGCTGTCTGAGGACTTCCGTAAGTGGTTGATGGCTTACGCGTTAGTTTGTGGCCTGGCTAACTTATGCCACGACAGCGATCAATTTCG